TATATGTCTTTAAATCATTAGACAAGAAAATAAAGGTCCTAAAATGTTAACAAGATTTATGAACACAGGAACAAGGTCTTATAGAGGCAATTGAAATATGTGACAACCATTAGCATTTCAGAGTAGTGATGAGGTACTTGTACAGATTGATGTACCTAAAAATTAGACAAGGCATATTAAAAGCTGAGCTCATTCAGGCTTAGGAGCAGCTGAATATGAGCAATTATGAAGCAGTTAAGCCATTAAATAAAACTGAAGATCTTGTGAATCGCCAGAGCAAAAAGGCACCTCCGTGTGACCGAGAGCTTTATCACCAGTGCTCTCATCTTAAAAACATAAACATTAGGAAATGTTGGTGCCAAGGGCGACAGAGAGGCCCTTTAAAGACAAACCATGTCACATGTTGCTCAGGACAGCAATCTCATGCAGAGAAAGCCATCTCTAACTGGGCACACCAATTGTGTGAGCAGAATGTGGGGATAAAGCGATTAAGGCCAGCCTTTTGGTGTTGGGCCGACACGGAGTCTGAACATTACAGAGCCCTGTGGAAAATGGCTTACCTGGCTTCTGTCATGCTCATGTAATTGCACATTCAGACTGGTTGCCTTCATCAGCTCATCCTGCCTGTGAAAATGACTGTAAACATGGGCTATGTTTGTGTGAAAATGTTTATTCTGTTCCCATTCTGCTAGGGTGTTAGGCAATGTAGCATGAGAAGGTTTCAAGAACATACTATATGAGGGAAAATAATCCTAAGAACATCTGTTCTTTCCCCAGTCACTGTGACTTGGCTACATCATTTGATAGTAAATAAGATTATTCCATGAAGAAAAGGCTGAGCCAATTTTAGAGTGGGTCTGGCCTATGCAATAATGCTGTGTCTATATGCATAAATCATTTTGAATAGCTTAATTGGTTGTCAATAGAAACATCTAATATTTATTAAGAATCTGCCATGTACTAGGCATGGGGTAGGAACATTTACATATTTATTCAGGAGAAGCACGGTATTAAAGTAGCAAGGGCACAACAATGAGATCTTCAGTCTTGGCATGATCTCTAGTGAGGGCTACTAAACAAGTCATTTAAAGGACTCAACAAATATAAGGAAGGAAAGCAGATTCTCTAGGCCAGTGTTTACTTGATTATTTTACAGTTTAAAAGCGCGCGCGCGTGTGTGTGTGTGTGTGTGTGCGCGCGCGCATGTGCATGTCACACAAACGTGTCTGGAAGAAATTATCTTTTATATTCCTTTCAACTCTAAAGTTCTATTGGCTGTACATGTGTTCCACTTTATGTTTTTGACCCTTTTGCTATTTTTTGGACAATATACTTTCCATTTGCTGCTATTTTTGGACAATATACTTTCCATTTGCAGTATTTTCTTCCCTCCACATTCAAGTCAGTCATCAAATTCTACTTTAATTCATCTTCAAAATATCTCTCAATTATTTCCTTTCAACCAATCAATTTGTATCAGGAAACCCCATGGTTAATAGCACAGGTTCTTGAGAACAGATTTGGGTTCAACTTCTTCCTCTGCTACTAGTAGCTGTATGATCTTGTGATCTTATTTTTTATTTAAACTATCTGAAATTCCACTTTCTTATTTTTAAAAGGAGATGGTAACATTTACATTGCAGAATTGTTGTGAATATTTGAAGAAAAATGCATTTTTAAATGCTTAGTAAAATGTGTGGCACAAAAACTCAGTATTAGCTAGTCCTTTTACTGATATAATAGTAGTAGTACCACCATCACTACTGTTACTCTCACCCTACCATCCTTTTTCCGTAGCTTGGGTTGCTATGACAGCCCTGTAGCTAATATTCCTAACTCCATGTATTATAATAAGTAACTATACTACATGGCAGACCCTGTTTCATTTTGGAAAGTTTTTATTGCTATATATCCAGGTTCACTAATTTTTTCTTCAGCAGTATCTAACCTGTTCATTTTTGCAGTGTGTTTTTTCTTTTTTACCTCAGATATTGTATTTTTCATTTACAGAATTTCAAATTGGGTTTATTTTGTATTATCCATGTCTCTTAACTCATTTATGCTTTCCTCTACCTTAATGATTCTCAATCAGTGGTAATTTTACCCCATGGCGGACGTTTGGCACTGTCTGGAGATATTTTTGGTTGTTTCAGCAGGACTGGGATGCTACTGGAATCTCATGTGTAGAGGTTAGGGTGTTCTGAGCATCCCAGAATGCATAGGACAGCCTCCACAACAATGAATTATCTGGTCCAGAATGTCAGTAATGCCAGGGTTGAGAAGCCCTGCTCTGCCTTCTTGCACATATGCAATATAGTTAGAGTAGTTGTCGTAATGTCTTTGTCCATTTGTCCTATCATCTGTATCATCTCTGAGTCAGCTTCTATTAATTGGTTTTTCTCCCATTATGCTTTTGCATGCTTGGTAATTATTTAATGGATGCCATCTACTGTGAAGTTTATCTTCTTGGGTGCTAGATATTTTTGTATTATTTAAAATATTCTTGAGCTTTGTTCTAGACACATTTAAGTTACTCACAGATGGTGTGAACCTATAGGCACATTTTTAAACTTTTTCAGCTGGGGCCAGTGTAACTACTAACTTAGGGAACATTTTCCCCCACTACTGAGGCACTAGGTAGATAAGTACTCTACCTGATGCCCTGTGTATTGTTAGCTTTTCCGCTGTGATGGAGGGAAGCATAAACTCTTTCCAGGCTGTGTAGGCACTGTGGATTGTTCCTTCTCAGTGGTCTTTATCTGCTCTGAGCAGTTTCCCACACAAGCATGCTGGTCAGTGCTCAGCAGAAGGAACCCACAGAAACCTCAAGGGTACTCAACTGTCTGCATAGCTCTCTCCTCTCTGGTCCTGCATGCTGTGAATTCAGTCGTGGTCTCCCTCTCTGAATGTTAGACTCTACCTCTTCAGCTCAGGGAGAAAGCCAGGTTCTTTTTGGGTTTCCTCCTTTTGGTGTAGCGTTGGAAGTCTTTCCAGGCAATAAGAGGGAGGAATCAAAGTAGAATTCACCCAGTTTGTTTACCTTCCCTCAGGGATCACTGTCCTGCATCCCTTGTTGTCCAATGTCTGAAAACTGTCTTCATAGGTTTAGTTTATTATTTAAAGTTATTTAAGGTGGGTGGGTAAATCTGGTCCTCAATATTCCATCAGGGCCAGAAGTGGAAGCCCACAGTAGACTTTTAAGGATACATATACAGTGCTGTCTATTATATTCAAAACAGAATATGTTGTTTGCACAGCCTGTGCTTCTAGAAACATATTCCGTCTTCAGAATCAAGTTTGTATCAATGCCGAGATCTGAACCACAAGGTATACATTTATCAGACCAACCTCTGAACTTTTCTATGTTGATTCTTTTCTGTTTCCTTTCTCCACTTTTCTATGTTGATTCTCCTCTATGCTTCAATACATCAGCTGTTCCATTTTCAAACGTTTTACTCTCCTGGATCCTATACGTGTACAATTAATTTGGGCCTTTTTCTTTGGTTTGCTTTTTGCCCTTTTCAGCAGTCAGGCCCCAGAGTTTATACATGGCTCAATAACTCACATATCTGTTTGTTGGTTACAATACAATTTAATGGTGTGTTTATATTGCTGCTTAATTAGCTTTGAAATTCTTAACAGAGGTATCCATTTTCTGCCCTTAGGACATGCTAACATTTTAATTACCACTTGTATATTAAAGAATATTTCTTTACATGTTTCTGGTAACTTTTTTTCTTAAAGTCTTTCATTAAGATACATTTATTGTAAAAGAGGGAGGCAAGAAACATAATGAGAACTGGGAAATAAAAGCAAAATAAAATACAAGTGAGTCCCAAGTTCCAGTGCTTGCCAGCTGTCCCATTACCATTTTTCTTGGTGGCATGATGTCGGCAGATTTTCCAAAGTTGGAGAAATATTAGCTTTCCGTGGTTAGTGGTAACTAGCCTAGAAATTACTAATGCCAACACTGCTATGCTATGTCTTAGGTGAGCTTGATCAGGTTAGGGGTTTATTATGCTGCTATATGTAGTATAATGCTTGACAATAAAATCCTGGATTTGGATTGAGTGGCCCATGAGATTGGAGATGGGGAATATGGAGTCTTTTATCTTTCAGTTCTCAGTTCAGGGCCAAACAAGAAGATATTGGCTTTAATGACCTCCAGTTTGAGGATCCTGTGAAATAAGCTGTTGCTGTCAATCCTACTTTTAATGAACAAGAATCCCCATAATTCAGTGCCACATGGTATCCCTTGTTCCATAGGGTTGATAAATGGGCTGTGAATGGAATGGTTTCTGGAAACAATTTATACATAATTTATCACCCTGTCCTAAGAGCTTAGGCAATTTGATAGAAAGAAGTGTAACCAAACTTTATCGCTGATCCAGATATGTTGTTTGGAGTTGTTCCAGGATTGTGGGCTTACATGGAGAATGGGGCCATGATACGAGGCAAGAACTATGAGAGTCAAAGGAAGCCGGACTCTATCATTTGCCTATTGCCTAGTTAGCACTATGGAGAGGGTGCGCAATCTTCAGGCCAGAGGATACATGAGGGCCAAGGACAGGAAGATGGAAAAACACTGGGCACATGATTGAATAACAAATTTAATATACTAGTAATAGACAGTTCGAAACTGAGGCACTCCTTCTTGACAAAAAGTCATGTACATTTTTCTCTGCAGTGGGTGAAGGAAGCCAAGGCTATGGTCTGGATATGGTTTGTCCTGCCAAAATTCGTGTTGAAATTTAATTGCCAACATATTGGTGTTAGAAAGTGGAGCCTTTATGAAGTGATTTGGTCATTAATATGAATTAATGTCTTTATTGTGAGACTAGATTGGTTCTTGTGGGTATGGATAAGTTCCCTTGGGAATAGATTAGTTTCCTCCAGAGGCGGTTGTTGTAAAGGGGGTTGCCTATCATGTTTCCCCCTTTTTTGCGTATATGAATATGTTAAATTGTTCACCTTTGTTTCTTTGTCATGTTTTGATTCAGCATGGGGCCCTTACCAGACTCCACCAGATGTGGCTACCCAATCTTGAATATCCCAGACTTCAGAACTGTGAGCTAAACAAACTTTTTTCTTTATAAATTATTCAGTCTCAGGTATTCTGTTATAGCAATACAAAATGAACGAGGGTGGCCAATTTAAGAAAATAGCATCTAGATTAAGCAGCAAAATGAGGGCATATTATGACAAATGATGAGAGATCCCAACATGCCCAAATTTAAATGGCTTGGATTCAACTCTATCTCCTTGGGGAAAAAGGAAAGGGAAAAGAATAATTTAAATGGGGTGAGTGATTCTGTTTGCCATTATACCTAATGAATGAGCCTGAGATGAAAGCTATGAACCCAGAATATCTCCTAGCATGGTCTCAGTCTTATGTGTGTCTCACATGGAGTATCTGTGTGTAACATGGGTGATTCGAATGTTAAATACGACAATTTTCAAACAACATGGCCACTCAAAGCAAACTAACAATTTCATCTAATGGTCAATGAAAGAACAAGGGAAAATGGGATTACATGTCTTCCTAATGGATTTTTTTGTAAGGATAATTTTGACTCTATGATTTTTGTCTTAAGTGCTGACCCTAGAACACAATGCAGCTACACTGGAATGGCATCATAACTACCACATGGTTGGTATTCAGCAAATATTAATTAAAAGAATATGTAAATATCAGAGCAGAGTGACAGGGAACACTGTTTCTAGAATATTCAACAGCTCTGCTAAAAATGTCTCTGAGGATTATCCCAGCCACAACATGTATATGTGTATTATCTATCTATCTATCTATCTATCTATCTATCTATCTATCTATCTATCTATCTGCCTGCCTGTCTGTCTATCTATCATTCTTTCTTTCTAAAATATACTTCTTGTTACTACCCAAGCTGGGAACTAAAGGATGGGCTTGGTAAATTTTGGAAAAATGTGAGTTGTGGTTATATTATACCAAGTGGTTAATTTTGTGACTTGCTCATTTTTTGGTATAAAATAAATTTTATACAGTCATTAAAATGAATAAATCAAAGAACAGTTGTTAAAAGCATATATTTTATAAATGGTCCATATAGATAGAAACTGATCTTGTGAAGTAGAATGAACAGGGGCCAAGAAGTTCATTCTAAGCCTTCCATTGATTCTCCAAGTTGACTGACCTTGGGTAAGCTGCAGTATTTCTACCCTCAGTCTCCTCTTCTGTAAAGGAGGAGGTTTGGGTCAGAACAATCTCTGAGGCTCTTTAGCATTTAAAAATTCTGTAACAAATTTTTAAAAATCAACTTAGTACTTCAGCAGACTAAAAGATCAAGGGATCAATTTCCTTTTTCAGAGTTCTTTAGCATTGTAACTTAGTATTAACAGAAGAGGCCAATATTTAGGAGCTGAGGTTTCCACCTAGATATCTAATTTGCACCTGGTCAGCAAGTTGTGGCAATACCGTTTGGTGGTCTTTTCTTAATTCAGTGGTCATTGTTAAACTTTAGGGTATATAAATATTAACTAGGAGGCTTGATAAAAATTTATGTGCTGAGTAGAGCCCAGGAATCATCATATTTAGGAATGCCATAAGTGATTCTGAAGTCATTGTCCCTGAGTTCATTTTGAGAAACACTGATTTAAGGTACAAATAAAATTGTCTCAATATAGGAAGAAGCTCAAGAAATAAGTCAATCATCTATCTTCAAAGGCAGAATGAGTTTACCCTCAAAGTCTACCATAGAAAGGCATTCCACAAAGTCCTAGTTTTAACATATTCAGATATTTAAAAATTCCTTCTTGGTGTTTCACAAGCCAATTCTGTTTCACTTTTATAGCTGCTTTTCTTTGTTGGCCCTAATACTTTTACTACAAATTCTTATGGGATCATAAAATCTTGAAGTTGAAAGTGATGTCAAGGAATGGTGTTATTCAGACCTCTGTTTTCTGACTAAACTAAAATTAAATAAATTTAAAAATAAAATGATTTGAAGGCTAATATAAAAAATCTGTTTGGTAAAAAATCTCAAATGCATTTTGGAGCAAGCACAAAACTAGACAAAAATGGAGAAGTTATTAGAGATGTTTCAAGACACAGAACTTTCCTAGTCAATTATCCTCAGAGAATCATCTTCAGACTGAGAGGTAGGTAGGTAAAAGATACGTAAGTAAAACCCGCTTTTGGGGATCTGTGGAGGTATATACAGGGCCAACAGGTTAGGTGGGGAAAGGAAAGTGAGAGGGGTAAAAGTAAAAGCTCTTACTTGCTAGTGCTTGGTTAAAGACTGGGCAGCCAGTGTCCAGGCCTTGGCCTAAAGATTGTACATAAGGACCTGAGAATTATTTTCAGTATCAGGCATGGCTCATAACTCTGTCTTAAGGATTCATAGGGATGCATGAGAGGTGGTAGTAGAGAAAAGAGCTTGTCAATGCTCTTTGCTATAAGCATGCATGGGCATGACTCTAAAAGTTGGGTGGCTTATCCTGGCTTCCTTGCCACCCTTCTTCCAGTGGGAAAACTCTGTAGAAATTCACCATCTCCTAGAGGTTACCTAGATGGTTGGCCTTTGTATCATCACAGGAGGCTGATATGGTTTAAGGAAGTGCTGGTTCTCACTCTTCTACCCTTCTGACACTCACAAATATATCCCATAAGCAAGACAATTTTTACTGTCTAGTGTGAACTTCATCTTTGATTTTGAATTAAATGACATAACAGTGAAAGAATATGAGGTTGGAATGGAATCTCTGCTTAGGGAAAATAACCAAAAGAAGCCAGATGAGGCTGGACCAGGATGTAGAAAGTAAACTTGTGTTGACAGCCTCAGGTTGGTGTTTTCAGAAAACATTTATCACCTCCCTTGCTCATTTTTTAAAATGAAGCAAAATCACGTTTCTTTAAATTTTTTTGACTGAAGCACAATTAAGAGAGCCCTAAAAAGAAACACCTTTTGCTGGTTTATTAAACACTATGTGTGAAGTCATTAAGTTTATCTTTTGCTCCATAGCTCTGCACTTATTCAGAATTTATCCTCATGATACTACTATGATGATAGTAGTTTTAGAGTTTGTGTTCAATTAAAACAAATAACCTGAATAAATAATTCCAAAATGAATGAGTTTCTACTGATCCCCTTTCCTTTAATGAAATAATTTTTTCTCAATTCTAATATGAATCTTATGAACAATCAGTAGTATTTAACTAAGACGCATTTGATAAGTTAATACTGGGGAAAGGAGCCTTTTCCTTCCCCCACTTTTCTTTGAAGAAAAATCAGTGGCTTTAAGTTCAAGCTACACTTTTCCCCAGATTTTTGAAATTTTAGCTAGGTCTTGAGTTTCCTTATCTCTTGTCCCACAGTTTCTTATCAATGCCTTCAATACAACTCTTACTACAAGTACTATAAAAACATAGTACAGCAAGGAAGGCAAGTGTATAAGCTAAAATATAAAGGCTGGCCAGGCACGGTGGCTCATGCCTGTAATCCCAGTACTTTATAGTACTGTGGGAGGATGGCTTGAGCCTGGAAAGTCAAGTCTGCAATGAGCCATGATGAAATCACTGCATTCCAACCTGGTCACAGAGCAAGACCTTGTCTCAAATAAATAAAATAAAATAAAACCTAAAGGCTGAAGTTCAATCCTGACTCCACTACTTACCATCTGTGACTTTAGATAAGCTAATTAACTCCTTTATACTCAGTTTCTTCCTTTCACAAATGAGGGCATCACTAGTACTGACCTGAGAGGGCTGGTATGAGGGCTCAAAGAGATAATCCACATAAAGTGCTTGGAACACTGCCTGGCATATATTGAGTGCTCATTAAAAGTTGGCTAGCTGTAATAATTGTGTGGCTCCTCCTCTACACTGTGAAATCCCACAGGAGCCAATTCAAATATCAACATTCGTGTTTATTTTTCTAGATCCTGGCACATATGTAGTTCCCAATAGATGTTGAATGGGGAAATGCCTTACTCTTAGTGACACTGTGTAATCCAGTTTGCAAAACAAAATAAGCAAACACCACCCAAATCTCACAGCTAATATTATGGAGTATCTGCACCAAGTACACAAAAGATGCATGTTATCCCCAACAACACTACCTTGTGTGTGGCAGAGGAAGCAACGAAAGGTAAAAAACAACACATCCTCTACCTCCATTGTCCACTTCTTCCAGAACCTGCTGAGCATATGCCAAGTTTCATATTTAGGAGAAGATGTAAAGGACATCAGGTTGACAGAAAGCTGTGATAGAATTGTGGAATTTGTTGCCAGGATGCCTCCAATCCCCTCATATCAGAGATGTGACTCTGTTCCTAGTGACTCTATGGTTGATCTAGAAACATACAACTAGGAGTTGGAAGGCCTGGAACTATTATCCAACACACCTGATTTTCTGACAAAGGCTATTGTGTGCACACATGCATAATGGAAGATAGAGTGATATTTTGCTGGATAATTTTAATCAACAAAGGAAGGGAGGTTGGGTTACACAAAGACATTCTCAGAAAAAAAAAACTGATTAAAGGCTCTAAGCAGCAAACTAGGGTACTCACGGTCAAGGCCCTGGGCTGCTGTAGGGTAGCAGAAAGGCATTTCTATTTTTATTCTCCCAGTCAGAACTCACGGTTCTTTTAGTGCTCTTCTTATGTGGGTATCTGTCAGGAAAGCAATCTGATTAAAGCATTTCACAATGAGACTAGATAATGGCTAAATTAAATGCAACAGAGACAGTTGCATTTTACAACTCATGCTAGGAGAAATATTCTTACTTGAAAAAAAACCCATGGAGTCAGTTAAATGAAAGACATCAGCAATATCTATATGCAAGATGATAAAGAAGAAATATTTTGTGGAAGGAATAGCTTGAAACAGTGTACCTTTCCTCCTCTGGCAACATGTTTCTCCCAACACATACTAAAGAAGGAAAGGAGGCAGCATCCCACTTCTGAAAGGTTGTTTTTAGCAAGAGTAGTGTTTTCAAGGTGCAAGTGGATGTAAATATTTATATTTGGGTCTCTTCTAGGTCTAAGTGGCTCCCATAGGTATGCCTTCTATAGGGTTATACTTTGTAACCCTGTAGAAGGTTGGAGTCAGCCCCAAGTACCAAAAACATAGACTTTTTTTTCCTTGAGAGCACAATGGAACCCTCTATTTTTGTCTTGGCTGGAAATGAAAGGGAATGCTTCCAAATGTTTCAAATCCTCAGATGTCTTTAGTTTGGAGGGACTAATATGAAAGATGAAGGGTGGCAGGGGTGTGATTGAAGTCTATAAAGTCACGAAAGGTCTGGAACAGTGAATACAGACTTGCTCACCAAATCTCTGAAAGTTAAAGCCCTGGCCAATGCCTTAAAGCCTAAAGTGCTAACTCATTGTACTTAGCTGCAGCTTAACGAATATTAGTTTAGTGATACAAAGGAAATTCTAAGAGGCTGATTAACAAATTTGTGGATGTTTACCTCAAGAGGTGCTAACAGCTGGACATGTGATTTGTTTATGCTTCACACTGAATCTGCAATTGAAAAACTTGGATTAGAAAAATTCCAGGAGTTCCTGATATTCTGTGGCTCTATATGTAATTAGTGAAAGTTATGAGATGC